CAAGAGAGACACATCAATTGGTTGCCTCTCACAGGACCCTGACCAGGGCCAGGGACCAAACTGCAATCAAGGTACATGCCCTCGACTGGAATCAAACCTGAGACTCTTCAGTCTTTGGTCTGACGCTCTAACTGCTGAGCCAAACCAGTCAGGGCTCCAACTTCAGTCTTTCTTTGTCGATTCCTCTCCATCCTTCCAGAGCTGGCTGAGGGCTGTCAATGGGAGACAAGTTTTATTTCACCTTTAAAAATCACATAAGATGAAATGCAGGCTCCAGGATACCCTGGACAAGTAGTTGCCTATCATTAACTCTTCTGAACCCAGCTTTAAACACAGGGGGTATTTACTAACTGATCAGCTCTCAGAAGGAGAAGTCAATGATCATCACTGTTGAAGTCTTTCAAATGTCTAGCTCATTCCCGTGACTGATTCAAGTACCCTCATGCCTTATTACATCAGGGGACAGCCCAGGTTTAGATATAATCATTAAACGGTATCAAATGTGACAAAGTTTGGATATACACTATTCATCTTATTGTTTACCAAAGAGTGACAATTTAGAAACCATTCAAACTGCCCTGGCCGGTTTGGCTCAGCGGTTAGAGCGTCCGCCTGCGGTCCAGAGAGACCCGGGTTTGGTTCCCGCTAAGGGCATGCACCTCGGTAGCAGTTTGTCCCCGGCCCTGGTTGGTCGTGCGGGTGGCAGCCACTCGATGTGTCCCTTTCACATCGATGTTTCCCTCGCTCTGTCTCTTCCTCTCTCTCCCTCCCACTTTATCTGTACAAAAAATGGAAAAATGTCCTCGGGTGAGGATAAAAAAAAAAAAAGAAACCATTCAAACTGCTGAATGCCACTTACACCAAACTATTATTTAAAGCAGTAGTCTTTTCTTATTTTAGTTGGTCCTAACATTCTAAGATCTCCGGTGTTCTACAGAATGCTTCAAACACAAAATAAAACAAAAACACCCCCCTACCCAACACACACACACAACCGTAAACAAACAAACAAACAAAAAATCAAACAGTAAAACTAAACTTCAGAGGGCTGGATCCACCCTAGGAAGGAAAACGGAAACAGGAGAGAAGGCTCCCAGTACAGGCTGTCTGCACCTGACAGCTCCTTCCTTTCTATAAGGAAATCAGCACCTCTTCCCTCTCTAAAATACGCCTTCCTGTATCAAGTATGGGGTCATTCACACTTTCCCCTTCTCCCACACAGAGATTTCAAATATGAGATGTGGTCCAAATTATCCTTTTTAAAACTCTGAATTTGTTTTAGATAACGTACATGTTTAGATAACACATACATGCTTCTCTTCACACCGGGAGCTTTCTCCTGGCTGAGAGCCTGCAATTTGTCGTTCATTTTCTCCCGAGGAACGGACTCCACTGAAATCCGGAGCAAAGTGTGGGGGTGCAGGGCATTTTGATGGAGGCGGGGGAAGGGAAAGTCTAAGGACAATTATCCGAGGGTCTGAACGTAAACGTCTGGATCTGATTTCTCTTTAAATAAACTCGGGAAGGGGCTAAACTCTGGAAAACCAGCCAGAATTGCTTTTTGGCCAAAGCTGTGTTGTATTTAGTTCAGAGAGGGCTGCCTGAGCAGTGCTTTGGGGGGTGTGAGTGAAAAAACAGTGGTTATACTTTCCTTCCATTTCAAAAGTTAAACTTTTTTTTTTTTTGCTCCTCAGAAGCTAGATTTGGAGGGTTAATTTGGAAGTTGGAAGGCACATCTAGAATCTTCACTCAGGCTAGAGGTGACTGGGAACAGCTCCTTTTGATTTGTAATTACTCTTTGGCCAACCTGGGTCCCACCCCACTACTTCTCACCAGAGCACTGTAAACCCCCAATAATGGTTCCACGCTGGGGGGAGGAGGGGTGACAGGGAGGGAGGAGACGAGCACAGGAGACCACACACCTGATTCTCACTAGCACACCTGTGCACCCTTCCAGGCTCCCTCCGACGCTCACCGCACGGCCCCACCCCACCCGAGTCCTGCGGGGCCCCCCCACGCGGGGCGCTCTCAGATGCTGCGGGGGGTAGGGGGGAAGAGCCCTCTCCTCCCAACCGAAGAAAGAGCTGCTTTGGGGGCAGACAGCCTGCGCCCACCATTTTCGTAACATCACTGGGACCCCTCCCCGGGTTTCAGGGACTGTGTGACCACCTGCAAAACATGCCCCTAAACAGGATCCCCATAGCACCGTCCCTGCGGGGAGCATCTCAGAACTCACTTCCCACGGGAAGGACAAGGAAAGAGGGCCTAAGACCCAAGGTGGACTCTTGGGGACTCGGAACAACTTGGTTGCTAATTCTAAGGCCAGCCCCTGTTTTTCTCTGGCCCGTAACTGCCGCTCTATAGGAACCGCCCTTGAGCTAAGGTGAAGGAAAACAGCGAGGTCCCCGAGGGCCGGGGAAGAGGCGGGTGTGGGCATCGGAGCAAGGAAACACGAGGTGGATGGGAATCCATCCGAATCCCGGAGAGTCGGCTTAAGGACGCTCACTGTCCTTTCAAGGGAAACAGATCAGAGGCCTGAGGAACCTGCTGCAGAAAAGCAGGCTTAGCAACTGAGCAAAGATCAGGGACCAAAGAGACTACCTGCCCCCCCCCCCCCGCCCCAGCCTGGGCAGTAAGAGCCCCCCTCACTTCCAGACTAGCGAAGGGGAGCAGAACGTGGTCACCAGGGCCGACTATCTTCACCACCCACTCCCTGACCCGCCACTTTGCGGTGGTCTCTGCCAGCTGTGCCAACTGAGGAGAACAAGCCAACTTTTAAAATCCTGTTAACATCATCTCTTTTAGCCATTTTGGCCGGAGTGATGCTATAAAGATGAACTTTCTCACTCTAATGCTGAGTACTGCAGACAAGTTACATGATTCAAAAGTGACTCTTACACGTATATCCAATGAAAACCCTGCCTGCCCACCCTCCCAGCAGTCTTCCCCGGCCCTTTCTCACCCACAGACTCCGCGTGGCACCTCCGAGCCTGGAGGCGGCTGCAGCCACTGGCCTCACTCAGTTCTCCCTGATTTTCAGCCCAACGGGCAGCACAAACCGGCGTGGAAAGTGACAAAAGGGACCCGCAGAGGGCTATGGGTCCAGGCTGCTCCCACTGGCTCAGAAATCATGGTATTATTGGCGAGACCAGGCGAAAGCCAGCTCCCGCCCTGACACCTCTTGAACCTCAGGGTAACATCTTACATAGTCCACGGCTGCTCGAAGGCGGAGCTTCGGAGCTTTCCCAAGCGAGAGTGAAGCTGGGGTGCAGTCAGGGAGAGAACGGGGAGTGAGTGAAGGGCGCGTGAGGGTGAACTGTGTCTGTCCAGCCTGGGAAGCAGGGTCACAGAGACCTAAGTGAGAGGTAGAGAGAACAATTGCCCAGGAGCTGAAGGAACCCCTGAACTAAGGACCCTCCTGCCTCGTGGAGGCAGGGCCTACCTCGCCCCTAGAACAACCTCCTTTGACTTTTGCTAATAATTTGACACTTAACCTTCACGGATCATGGGAAGAACCTCAGTATGGAAGCACATCTTAGCTGTGTCTCTCTCTAATCGTGATCTTAGGCAAGGTATCTAAGTTTTTGTTTCTTGAGCTGTAAAAGAAAGTTGCCTTTCATAGGGTAGCAGAATTTGATATGATATGATGTATCAAAGTGCCTAGCATAAAGTAGGTGAGAACTGAGGAGGATAAAACCTGTCCTAAGTTCTATCCTCTTCCCCATCCACACATATCCACCCATCCACCTATAATACAAGTCCCTAAAATGCTACCAAATGAAACTAAGTCATAAAAGATCTTCTTTGCAAATTGAAATATTCCTGGGATGGATGGCCTCATAAGTCACTAATAACTTGAATTAGTCTTTGAGATGCTTTGCTTTCTTCCAATAGAGTGTAATGAGCCTGGATGTGTGGGGGAAGAGAGAGGGAAGGACCCTTCAGCTTGAAAAGACTCTCAGAATTATGTGCTTGGGCCCCTTCTCTCTTTCTCTTCTCTGGAACATCATGTTATTGCAAATGTTTATGGATACTTTAGAAATGGGAAAAAAATCTTTTTTATTGTTTGTCCTGTGAGACCAGTCCTAATGACGGTTAAACAATTCAAGGATGCTGGGAGTCTTTAGTATTAATTTGCTTTCATGTCTTGATATGGCACAGCTGTTTTGCTAGTGAAACATGAACAGGTGTATTCTTTTTGCTTTGCTGGTGGGGAGGGGTGTAGGTCATGATGATTACCAGGAAAGTCCTCAAAATGCCCTCAGGTTAGGTAAATGAATATTTATGTCCTCATTTAAAAATGAAACAGCCTACACCTGGCTTGTGTGGCTCCGTGGTTGAGCATCAACCCATGCACCAAGAGGTCGCCAGTTAGATTCCCAGTCAGGGCACATGCCCAGGTTGTGGGCCAAATCCCCAGTGGGTGGCATGCAGGAGGTGGCCAATCAATGTTCTCTCTCATCATGTTTCTATCTCTCTCTCTAAAATCAATAAAGAAAAAAAAATTAAAAACAAAACAGTTTTGCCTGGCCCGGTTGGTTGGAGCATCACCCATAGATCAAAAGTTTTCAGGTTTGATCCCTGGTCAGGGATGTTTCTCTTTCTCTCTCTCACTAAAAATTAATGAAAACAAAACAGAAAAAACAACCTATCCTCGGGTGAGGATCAAAATTGAAACAGCCTCTAGTGAATACTTTTCGTAAGTCACTTTCTACGATTATTTTTACTTGATGAGTTTTCCATACCTTAAATTATTTTTTTAATTTTTCCATTAAATCACTTTATAGCTGAGATAATTTTATTGAACATGTCCTCCTTTTAGGACACCAGAAAAAAATGTAAATGTCTCAGCAGATTTTCAAAATCATGACATTTATGTGAATCACAAAGAAAGATATTTTTTATGACAAAAAAATTCAAGTTCTCTATTTATCGGTAGGAACGTCCTCCCTTTGAAATCTCATTCATGTCTTCGTTCCAACCTGAGGAAGTCATGTCCGTCATTCTATGGGGGGATTTGGATCCAAAATTGTGCTGCTTTCTGCACTCTTAGAAAAAGATGTGTCTGACACGCCCTCTGTTGGGTGAAAGTATGACATAGATGCCAGTTCCGGGTTGACTGTGTACTCGCTCCCAATCTGCTTTTTATAACTGAAAAAGAAAACACACATCAAGATTTGTTTTATGTACGTTTGCATCTCAACTCAAAACAGCATCACAAAAGTTCAGTGTATGATTCCGTCCAATATATCTGTCACTTGGTAGAACGCCATGGAAATGAATGAAAACTGTTAGACCCTAAGCAGATGTGCTATTTAGAACAGCGTTCCCAGCCCTTTTGTTCCAGGGCTATCCAGAAAGGATGCCTATCCAGATTCTCTTTGTCCTTTCCAGTCGATTAGGGTGATTTCTATTTCCAGACGATTATTTAAAATATTGGGGAAATGTTCAAGAGGGATATTCCCTGAGAGTCAGCTCGTGCTTCTTTCTGAATAGGGGAAATGGAACCAACTGAATACCTTCTAGATAAATGTGGGAGTCACGTTTTCCTGACAGAGAATGGGTGGAAGCTTCCCATCACGTATGTTACAGACACTCCGAGGTCTGTAAACTCACCTCGTCTTCAGTTTGTACAGCAGGGCACTGGATACTGCCAAGACGGAGGCGAACAGGATGAGGGTCAACAGTGAGATGCCCATCATTATTTTTAACTTGTCATCCTGTGTGTCTGCCCCTTCATCTTCGTTTGTACCATTCAGATCAGAGCCTGAGAGGAAAGGAAGAAATTGCAATGGAAGAGAGTAATTGTGTTCAGCATGTTTTTTTGGAGGGGTAAGGATTGCAAAGCCACCGCAGAAAGGCCTTCCATCCTCGGGAGTAGTCACTCTCCTACCCTCAGTCAATGCAAAGGAAAAGGCTATATAGGCTACAATCCCCCTCCCCCCCCTCAGGTCTGGTAACTTACTCCACGTAACCTGCACAGTAATCCTGGAGGAGCTCGCCTCTGCTGCATTTCACAGGATCACAGAAGCGTCTGAATTTGCCATGGCACAGAACTACATAGTGGCCGAATCTGCTTCAAACCCAGGTTGCCAATATTAGAATGTGTATGTAGCAGATTTCTCCTCTGCCTAGTCAAAACCAGTTCAAGACTCTAAAGAGATTACTATCAAAAGTGTAAATTTATACATATCCTTCAAAAGAAAAAGATGCTGTTTTACTATTGGGACATGCACTGATATTTCTTTTAAGCTAAAGGATGGTGCACCAGATGCTTTCTGCATGAGGCTTAAGAATGGAACTTGAGCCCGGCCGATGTGGCTCAGTGGTTAAGCTTCAAGCCATGCACCAAGAGGTCACCAGTTCGATTCCCGGTCAGGAAATATGCCCAGGTTGTGGGCCCGATCCCCAGTGGAGGGCATGCAGGAGGCATGTTCTCTCTCATTGATGTTTCTATCTCTCACTCCCTCTCCCTTCCTCTCTCTCTCTCTCTAAAAATCAATGAAGAAAAAAAAAAGTTTTTTAGAAAAAGAGGGAACTTGCCATTTTATTACTGAGCTCAGACCAAGTGTACATGATGTTAAAGAAAGAAATGGAAACGTATTTAACTTCCTAAAATAAGTTATGTAATAAAAATCATGTCTGGAACCAGAGATGTCAAAAGTCTTTTTATTAACTCTATCAATGAAAAATATATCTTTATTGTCAAATTTCATATTTTTAAAATATATGTTTGACTTAGTAGACACTTATGTAATGATGACTTTAAATATATCATTTCCCATTTCTCCCCTTTCTCCCAACATGTTCCCCAAAGTTTCAAGGGCTTTCATTATTTTCTACATACTGATATTTTGGTAATAAACAATGACATGCTCCCATGTTTATACTCTCTGATTTAAAAAGTTATGATTGTCGCCCCGGCCGGTTTGGCTCAGCGGTTAGAGCGTCGGCCCCAAGACCAGAGAGTCCCGGGTTCGGTTCCCGCTAAGGGCATGTACCTCGGTTGCAGTTTGTCTCCGGCCCAGGTTGGGGTCGTGCGGGTGGCGACCACTCGATGTGTCTCTTTCATGTCGATGTTTCTCTCTCTCTCCCTCCCTCTCTCCCTCCTGCTCTATCTGAAGATAAGTGCAAAAGTGTCCTCAGGTGAGGATAAAAAAATAAAAATAAATAAAAAGTTATGATTGTCAAAGTGGAGTTAAACGTACACAATCGTCAAAGACTGATATCTTGACTTTGAGGCAGATTATTTCAGGACTAATCAAACAAATTATGTTAAAATGTTCTGTGCTTCTGAACTGCATTGCTAGCTACTCCATAAGAGGGTTTTTGTAAAAAAGATGTGTTTATAGTACTAGAGGATGATTTGGAATTCCTAACCACTGGAAATTATGGAAACTCTAATTACAAGTTTGAACAGAGTTTCTCTGTAAGCCTCAGTGTTCTCATCTGTAAAATGGAAATAATACCAACTTCATGGAGTTGCTGTGAGGACTGACACAGTAACGTCTGTAAAGCACTGGCATGTAGTATGTGCCCGGTGTGTGATAAAAAATCCATCATGCTCAATTTAATCACGTGAAAATGCAAACCATTTTTCAAGTGGCCTTGCATTTGTCATTGCTACGTCTAGCTCTCCATCGAACGAAGGCGCCTCACTCCATCTTCTCGAAGCACTGAAAGCAAGAGGCTGCTCTTGTCTGACACTCAGGTGCAGACCGATGTGACAAGCCTTCCATGGAGTACCAGAGGCTATTCCTTTTTCAATGGCTTATTTGCAAGACAGAGGTTTGAGGGACATTAATTTATTACCTTGTCATGAAATTTTCCATTTAAATCAGGAGTTTTTTTGCTCAGATAAATATAATTAATCCATTAATAAAAATTACTGCATTCAGCAGCAGACATTCGCTCATTCATCGCTGGCAAGAAGGCAAAATGGTTTAGCCACTTTGGAAGATAGTTTGGTAGTTTCTTATAAAGATAAGCATAGTCGCCTTAACATACAATCCAGTAAACATGGTCCTCGGTTATTTACCTAAGTGAGTTGAAAATTTAGGGCACACAAAAACCTACATGTGGATGCTTACAGTAGATCTATTTGTTATTGCCAACACTTGGAAGCAGTCAAGATGCCCTTCAATAGGTGACTGGATAAATAAACTGGTAAATCTATACAATGGAACATTATTCAGTGGTGAAAAGACATGAACTGTCAAGCTATGTAAATATATGGAGGAATCTTACGTGCATATTATTGAACAAAAGGAGCCGCTCCGAAAAGGCTATGTACTGTATGTTTCCAACCATGTGACATTCTGGAATAGGCAGAACTATAGAGACAATGAAAATGTCAGTGGTGGTCCAGAGCTGGGTGAGGGAGAGGTGGATAGATGGAGCACAAGGGACTTTTAGGGAAGGAAAACTATTCTGTATGCTACTGTGATGGTGGACACGTGACATTTGTCAAAAGCCATAGATTTGTATAACACAAAGAGGGGACCTTGATGTAAACTATGGACTTTAGTTAATAATGTACTAATATTGGCTCATAAATTATAAAAACTGTACCACACTGATGCAAGGTGGTAATAAGAGGGAAAACTGAGTGGCGGAAAGATATAGGGAAATCTCTATAATTTCTGCAAGCCTAAAACTACTCTAAAAACAAAATCTATTAATTAAGAAAGCAAACTGCATTCTATATTTTAAGCACTTGCCTCCTCTTCCATTTGGTTTATCTGTTTCAGGAACAGAAGTCACACAGCAGGAAAATAGAAATAGTCTTCTGCAATATGGAAACTGGAGAAAAATGTTTAAAAACCACAACTTACCTAAAACAGTAAATGTCCTCTCTGCTACAATGTTAGTCTCTAGGCTACCCTCTTTCATACACCTTACACAAGGTGTATCACCATACAGACACTAAAATGTGTGCAAGTATGTATGTATTCACTTAATTGAAGTATTTTTTCTTACTTGGAATTGCTTCAAATAATTGATCTCTTGTTTCTTCCTCCTCCGCTGTGTCGTTTAAAACTGTTAAAACAAACATTGACGTTATGGTAAACAAAATTCATTTACTGAAACTGTGTGTGTGTGTAATATATACAGTTTATTCTCATTATTCATGGTAGTTATCTTTATAACCCTAGGGGAAGTACAGGTTTAGGTTCCTATGAGGGCACAGCATTTTCATCAACCAATCAATACAAAACCTTGTTTTATGCGTGTTTATGTTTACAGACACTTTATTTTAGTATATATGGCAGAGTCATTCAATTGAACTCACAGACAACAGCACTATAACTCCCACCTAGACAAAGCTTATCTAACACACATTTTCTCCACAAGGTATACCGCAGCTGTCTTGTGCTCGGGGACACTAACCAGCTTTTTATTGCTATACTTGGGGGCCATTTTAAATAGAAAAATCACCAACAGGAAACACAAAATACGTGTAGCGATACACAAACCACAAAAATGAGACTTATTTACAGTGTGAGAGCTGTAAAGAGAAGGTAAAATGTTGCCTTTTTCTATCTGAGCTGGGAATGTGAGCAACAGGCAATTAACATTTTTTTGCTGCTCTGAGCGTGTCTGCACATTACCGCAGAAGAGCTTCTAGTATTGCTTTAGGGGGTTACAGATAAATCTTAGATGTAGGCAAATTTTCAAATACAGAATATACAAGTAATGAAGATCAACTGAATATGGTGTATACTTTACATTTATATTGCAGGCACATGTGTGTGTGATATTACATTTATACATGAGTGCATCTATGGTATTCACATTACATCTGTGCATGCATATATATGTATATATATGATATGCATATTATATGTATAATGCATGCTTAAATATTTATTATATATATACACGTTAATGTTATGCATGCACATTTTGATATGTACTTTGCATTTATTCACATATCTCCATGTGCTTGTGTGCATACTGCTCCTAAGACAAAGAGGAACTTTAGTGAGGAAGAGCCTTATTTAAAATTTATATTCATCAAAAAATTGATCGCAACATTTGTAGGAGCATAAGACTTTTGGGAGGAGAATCAGAAAAAGTGAAATACTTGATCAACCTTCTGGGTGTGTTTTGCATTTGCTGTTACATGTGATGATGGCACAAATGTTACATTAATTCTCAGAATTAGAATTACTTACACTGTTCTGGGATTTCTTACATAGGGCTTCAGAACTACAAAACATTTCCCAGTTACCTAACAACTATGAGTTTACCTTTAGCTAACATTGTCCAAAATGCAGGCTCATTGGGACCCTGGGTTGATCCTGGTTAAAAAGCAAAATAGAACAGGATGACAAATTAAGGTAATTTGGCTTTGGTAAATTTGTGATAGAACATTCATTCATGCGCTTGTCAGTGTAGCCATTTACTAGCATACCTTGAATTCCTACCACGTGCCAGACCTTGTGGTTGCACTGAAGTTACAGAAATGAACAAGACAGTCTTAATGCTCAAGGAACATACTCCATTACGGAAGCGGACAGGTATCACTGCGCTTGTGTTGCAGGAGAAGGAGGGTGTTAAAGGAAACACACAGGGGGTGCATGGAGGGACCAAAATCAGCTTGCAAAAGCTGGAAACCCTGCAAAGGGGAGAGGATGTTTCCATACAGGCGCAGAGGACTAGACATTGTCTGCCAGCAGACAAGGTGAGAGAGGTCATTCCAGACTCAGAGTCCTGAGCAGGGTGGATGAGCTCTTGGAGCTTCAGGTGGTCTGGAATGAAGAATGTGCAGGGGGCATGGGCCGGAGGTAAGACAGGAAGTTCTTGAATGTTCAGGCCCTGTCAGACTAGAATACCTAGTTAGAAGTTAGAATGTAACCCCGAACTGAAGTAGTGAAACTTGCATTTTTACTCATATAATGATATGATCCAGGTATGACTGCGTTGTTATCCATTTAAATTTTTCGATATTTTTTTCCAGAGGGTTCTTTACTATTTTTTTCTTCATTTACTTTTAGTAAATTAAAACTTTAGTGAAAATTACTAAAGATATTGAAGGTTTTTAGTTTTATTTTTAGTAGTGTTAAAAATGCAAATGAAATTAGAGTAATCATATTAGGAACATACTTGTGTTAGATGAACTGGAGAAAATAGGGTTTCATGTAACAACAGGTCTCTTGTCCTCAATTAGACACTCACTCAAGACCACAGAGGAGAACCTTTCCAGGTTGTTATGGTTTCACAAATATTTTATAAGGAACAATATTCTTGACAGGAAAGTAAACGATGATTTTGATTGTTGCAACCTCTTACTCCCAGCACCCCCACCCCAGGTAATCTTAGGAAACACTAATAATTGACTCTATGCAGAGAAAAGTTTATTCCTCAAGCAGATAGAAATTTTTATGCAATTTTAAAAAGTTATATTAAGATGTATTACATAGTTATATAAATATAAATGTATATTTATACATATATTTCTGTTATAGTTTACATTAAATATAAATGTATGTATGTATAGCATAAATATGTATAAATATGAATTTAATACACTTGATTAAAATAAAATTGTATTATACAAAGAGCTCACTTCCTACCCGTAGATACATCTGAAAATTGACCCTTAGATTTTCAGTTTAAAAGATTTCAGAGCGACTTGAAATTGTAGCAGTACAAGTTCTTTAAGCATGTTATTACTTTATGAAATGCTCAGAGTAGTAAAACTTAAATTTTTACTCATATAATGATATGCTCCAGGTATGACTACAGTAAAGTAACTTTAATACTTGGAAGATTTTTTTCAGAGGATTCTTTAGAATATTCTTCACTGGGTTTTGCAGTAGGAGGTGTAGTTGTTTCATTGATGAGTTTATCTAGGAAAAGGGATAATGGATTATCAGCATATAAAAATATTGACTCAACCTCTGTAATTAGGCATACATTTAAGCTTAAAAATGGACAAAAGAAAATGAGAGAGAGGGAAAAAAAAGAGAGAGAAAGATGTTGACAATTTTTTGAGATCACTTACAGGAGGGGAAAGAAAAAAGGAAGTTTTTGCCTGAGGTGGGATTCATAAGCCTGTAATTTTGCAGGAGAGAGGAAAAGCTGGGGTCCCGGGCACAAGCTTTCTTTAGAGGGAAGGAAGATCACTGCATTGGATACACTGTCTCACTGGCTCCTGGACAGGCTGTGCAGTGATCCTACCAGCCCAGGACAGTTTGGTTGCTGGTCAGTGTAATGACCTGAAGAGGAGGCAGCAGCAACTTCTTTGTAAATTGGAAATATGCATGCTTACTACTCAAAACCGAGTTTTGGATATCAAGATTTGGGCTCCAAATCAAGGATTTTTCAGGCCTGATTTAGTGCATATCTCAGGCTATGTCAGTAAGAGTGGATTTGGGGACAATTGTGACTGGAAGACCACACCTTCCCCCATGAAGTGGGCTGAAATTTCAGTTGACTTTGCTTAACACAGGAGTCAATCAAGTTCCGTAAGCAGTACGGGCAATCCCTCCACAGACGGAGTTCTAGGGGGCAGAAGGAATTCAGGCTGAGCCTACAGACAGCACCAATACAAGGTGGCAAGAAAGGATGAAAAGGAGATTGTTACTGGAGTGAGCAGCACAAGAACAAGTGGTCAGAAATCCTTAACCTCTGCTGTGCAACCCTCTTACTCTGTTCTGGGAAATGTGTCTGGATTGCTTCAGCTACTTGCCCTCAGAATTTTGGAGCCTAACAGAATTGTTATTCAAAGTCATTCTGGAGATGTCGGTCTCCTCCAGGGGCTCATTCCTCTGGAATGTTCCATCCATGTCAGCCCGCCTCCTTCTGTCAGAGCCCCGTTTAAAATAGCAACAATTGATCCCAATCCAACTTTCTCGGACAATCTTTGGGGACCTGAATTGTGGGAACAGAAGTGAGGGCTTTGGATCTCCTCCATGGGCCCTCAATCATCCATCTCCTAGAATCTGAGGTACCTGGTCTCTTTTCTTCCACAGACTCTGGGATTTGTGTCCTGTCCCAAATGACTCCAGAGGTTGTTTACTTGTACAAACAAAATTCCCATGAGTCATCTGTCTAATTAATGTATGCCCCTGAAATGTCCCTATCTCATTTATGTCCCAAGGTTTGAGACTGCACAAAATATTCCATTATTGTCACGTAGCTTTACTCATTATCAGGCTTACCGAGCCTGTCTTTCACCAGGGTTGAAACTCCATTGCCAGCAACACTCTCAATTCCCTATTTACTTTCTTCTTCTTCTCCCTGTATTTGTTTTGTGCTGGTGTGTTTCATACAAATGAGCTGTCACACCAAGGTAAAAGATGTGTTATATGCATTTTGGAGACTTTTAATGGCCTCCAAAGTCATCTATCAAATAGTTACGCTTGGTGGAAAGGTGGGATAGGAAATAACATTTGAAGATGAAGGTACAAAGCAGAAAGAAGTAAAAATGTGTGTCTAAGAAGACACACAATTTTCTAGTTCTAAATTTAGTTATTTAATTTTATTTCCATGCAGACCAAAATGGGGAGTCTAAGAAATGTAAGAACCTCCCTGCCTTCTGCATTGGTCCATGTAATAGACATGGGGTCTCCCTGTTTAGGAACTAAGACTTCTGACCTTAGCCCCACTAAGATCTTGTGCCTACCCAATACTCAAGTGCTGTTTTGAAATCTTGCTTTAAGGGCTTTTCATATTTGCAATGGTGCCTTTCAATACTTACAGTTTTTTAAAGCAAAATTCAGATCAGTTGTTGCTCTCACAGATATTTCAGATTGGCTGCCATTTGGATTTACTGTTGTGAACATATCTAAAAACATAAGACAAAAGTTTTCAACTGCTAGTCTAGTGAAGTTTAGACTTTTTGTTCCTTTACACTTTTCTTCATCTGATTTTTTTTTTTTTTTTTTTTTTTACAAATAATAATAAGAAGAAAGTATTTGAGACATTCTTCATCTACAACGTAAAAAGTGGGGCAAAGGTCAAAAATAAAATTCATGGGGAAAAAATGTTAAATTAGTATCCTTTTCGCCTGGCCAGTGTGGCTCAGTGGATTGAGCACTGTCCCAGGGACTGAGAGGTCCTGGTTCGATTCCTGGTCACTTGCCCAGGTTTCAGGCTCAATCCCCAGTAGAGGGTGTGCAGGAGGCAGTTGATCAATGTTTCTCTCTCACATCGATATTTCTCTCTCTCCCCCTTCCTCTCTCTCTAAAAAAATCAACAAAAACATATTTAAAAATAAATAAATAATTATACTTTTGTTAAATAACTATTTCTTTTTTAAAGATTTTATCTTTATTTCTTTCTAAACCTCTTCCTTTCTTTTTTTATTATTATTTTTTAATCTTCACCTGAGGACATTTTTTTAAAAATTTATCTTCAGATAGAGCAAGAGCGAGAGAGGAGGAAAGGAGAGAGAGAGAGAAACATCAGTGTGAAAGAGGAACATCGACTGGTTGCCACCCACACAACCCCAACCTGGGCCAGGAACAAAGGTACATGCCCTCAGTGGGAACCAAACCAGGGACTCTCTGGTGCGTGGGCTGACGCTCTAACCACTGCACCAAACTGGCCAGGGCTTAAAAGACTGTTTCTGAGAAGAAATTATTGAGGAATTAATGGGAAAACATATTGAGTGCATTATAGGTGCCAAAATAGATTTGGAGATGTGTAATATTATCACTGTGACATTATCAAAAAGCCAAGTAAGGAGTATCTACTTGTCCTTGAATCTTCTGTTAGACTATGGATCAGCTTAAAAGGCATATACTTCAATAACAACCAAAGTCTTCTATATACTTTCACATTTACATGTGCATGTAAAGAATCCTGCTCTTAATTGTTGTCAGTGGGGTTGGTAATAATTCAAAACTAGTGGACACATCCACCCAACCATAGTAAAATAAATCGAACAAAGATGAGTGACTAAACATACATACACGTCTCGTCTTTCCAAAATCTCATGAAATGACAGAAAATTTTATACACACATGAAGGTATATGTATTTAATATACATGCACATATTTCCCCCAAGCGCGCGCACACACACACACACACACACCAGTGCTGTTAATGTATCATATGTTTTGAGAAGTTTCTGAGCTAGATCTATGAAAAAAAAGGAAATTGCAGCCAAATATTTATGTTATGAGTTATAAAAGTATAAAAATTAAAATACTGTGATATTTTTGCAGGGGCAGACAGATCAGAGAACAAAAAGATAATAATAGACTAAATTTCAAATGAGAATTTAGATTATATTAAATGTGTTTCACATTATTAGGGAATTGGTGTTAGACATTTTGTGATTCCCCTTGAAAAATGTAATGTTTTATGCTGTATACAAAAATAATTAGATTTAAGACCTGAATTTTTTAAAAAATGAATCTTTTTAAAAACCCTAGGAAAATAATTTACTATTTAATTGGATATGGTCTATCTAGGCAAGATACAAAATGTAGAAATTATAAACGAATTAATCAAACAGGTTTAAAGATAAGCAACGGCCTGGAGAAAATACGTGTTACTTTTACCATAGAGAAAAGATTAACATATTAAATATACAAAGAGCCCCTACGAACAAATGAAAATATAATCTAATAGAGAAATGGGCCAAAGATAAAAATAGACGAATCACAGAAGTAGAAATTAAATGCTCAATACATACAGAGAAAAATACTCAATTTCACAAGTAACCAGTGTGCAAATTAAAAACACTAATGAAAATTTCTCACTATTCACAGAATATGATTAACACTATTTTTTTTTCGAGAGAGAAACATTGATGTGAGAGAGAAACATTGATCAGCTGCCTCCTGCACCCCCACCTCCCAGGGATTGAGCTCAAAACCCAGGCATGCACCCCAACCAGGAACCGAACTGGGACCTCTCAGTCCATGGGATGATGCTCAATCCACTGAACCACACCGGCCAGGCTGATTAACACTATTTATTGGGAGATTGTGGAGCATTCTTGGAGGATGCAAATTGGTACATAGGTTTTGGAGAGCAATTTTGTGGTATCTATCAACATTTTAAGAAATTCCAGTACTTGGTATCTATCCAAAGAGGGATATACCCAAGAATGTATGAGAAGAGAGTACAAGGGAAAAACTGCCCATAATTTAATTTTTTCTAAGATAGTGGCTAAATTATGGAACATCATTTTATGCAATATTATGCATCCTTTAAAAATAATGAAGTAGAGGAGAGGGAAAATGGTGGTGGAGTGACTGGAAGCTACACAGACGATCTCCTGGGATCAAACTGGAATTACAACTAAAATAAAGACAACTCGTCTGGAAAAACCAATGGAAGAGTGGCTGGAGAGACGCCTTATAATCAGGGACATAAAGAGGACTCCAAGTTGAGACTGGTAGGAGCTGCAGAAGTACAAGAGGGCTGGCTGGGTTGTTAGATGCAGTGAATACTGCTGCTGCTACTGTTGTTGTTGTTGTTGCTGCTGCTGCTGCTGCTGCTGCTGCTGCTGCTGCTGCTGCTGCTGGGAATAAAGATGCTGCTGCTGCTGATCCCTCCTGATGTCGGCTTCATGAGCTTTCTTTACCTTGTGTATCTCACCGCTGAAACCTCCCTTGCACCCCCAGTCTCTGACACTTGGTATAGCTGGCAGGATGAGGTGGGTACCCCAGCAGCCCTGGGTGGAGGGGATGTAGCCCCCCGCATCCCTCTAGTGCCCGGTGGCGGCATGCCTGATGGCCTGAAAGCCGCTGAAGATTGGGAGCGCTGGCCTGGAGAGGTGCGGAAGGCTTTGGTTCGACACAAGCAGCGGCCCATACAGAGGCGGAGAACCTAGTAGCGCCCCAGGCGGCCAGGAGCTGGCCAAGCCCAGCCAGCAGCAGCCAGCAAGGGACCACCGCCCTGCCCCGAGGGGAGGAGCCGCGCCGGCGCTCAGGAGGCAGCTGAGGGCAAGGACCTGAAGGCGGAGGCAGGGCCAGGGCCTGAAGCACCCGCCAAGCCCTGGGCAGACAAGGAGGCTGCGGCTGGTGCAACCCCCAGCCTGTCCCAGCCACTGCCCCAGGAGCACCCCATGCTGGCTGCAGACGAGGAGCAGGCCTGGGATGTGGTGATGGAAGCTGGGTCCCACAGGGCGGGCGGTGGGGCTGAGGAGGGCGACACAGACGAACCCCAGTGTGGCCAGTGCAAATGCCTGACGGCTCATGGAGGATGGCTGTGGACTACAGGGAACTGAGTAAGACATTGACTCTGAGAGCCAGGAACAGTTTGCCTTTACCTGGGAAGGAAGGCAATGGACGTTTCAAGTGTTACCCCAAGGCGATGACACAGTCCAATGCTTTGTCATGTTTGGTAGACTAGGACTTAGTTTCCTGGAGCAAACCTCCACAAGTACATTGTTCCATTATATTGTTGACATAATGTTGACTTCTGATTTTCTTGCAGAGCTAGAAGCTGGAGCATGCAGCCTCTGGGAAGCCCTGGCGGCCAGGGGTTGGCGGTCAATAAGGACAAAGGGCCCTAGATACTCTGTCAAGTTGCTGGGTGTTGTTTGGTCGGGTAAGACGAAGGTCATGCCAGAGGCGATTATATATAAAATAAAAGTCTCTCCTTGACCAGAAACAATGAAACAGGTGCAGACACACTTGGGACTGCTAGGGTTCTGGCAAACCTTTATACCCCATTTAGCCATGCTGATGAAACCCCTCCACTGCAAGGTCCGGAATGGGGAGGCCTGGGACTGGTCTCCTGTGGTGGAGCAAGCATTTCTGGCCACAAAACAGGTGGTGGCCCAGATACAGACGCTGTGAGTCATGGATCCAGCTTTGCCATCCCTCCTCACTGTACAGGTGGACGATTCAGGATTTGGCTGGGGTCTCTGGCAAAAACAAGAACCTGGGAAGAGTCCTATTGGGTTTCTTTCCCAGTTGTGGAAGGGAGCTGAGAGTCATCAGTCCCTTATTGGGAAGCAGTTGGTGTACACAGCCCTGTTGGCCATTGAAAGTATCACTGGTCCTTGTCCTGTTGTTATAACTCAGTGCCATTGACCCAAACTCCCAGAGGCCTTCACGACAACCAAAGGGGTTGTCAGTTTACTCATTTACTGAAGAACATTCTTCACTAACTAATCCCTAAGTAATCGCTAACCCTGGGGTAATAACTAACCCTTGAGTAATCCTGGGCGGCACCAGCGATAATCTATTGAAAACATCTTGACCTTTGAGATGTCTGGGAAACTGAGTAACAGGTAATTAACTAACTGCTAAATTCCGCTTCTGTAACATGCTTGCTTACACGTAGCAACCCCCCTTACAAAATCCTATAAAAAGGAGCCATTTTAGCTCTCCGCGGCCGCAGTTACTCCTGTGTGGGACATACTGAAGGTGCCTCCGGACTTAGCTCAATAAACTCCTTTTATTAAACCCCATCTCGGCGTCTGAGTTTGGTCGATCTCCTGGGTTACAACACTGTCACAGTGCAAACCACCTACCTGGTAGAAGGGTGGTTAGGGTCTTGGGCTACTCTACCACGCATGGGCATGGGCCCAAACTCCCACCTTGACAAAGTGGGGAGCTTACTTGCAACAGAGGGCTCAGTTCTCTACCAGCCCCTTGACCAGGAGCTGCCTCCTTGCTGGGACCTAGAAAGTTTGGAGCAGAACGGGAGGAGCCCTCTTAGGAAGCAGAGGGAAGCCCAGCCCTTCTGAGGAGAGAAAGCCTCCCCCTCCGGCAGATACCTGGTATACTGATGGTTCTTGACATGGGCGGCAGTGGCCCTGCAACCGGCTACAGATACCTTTTGGTACAATACAGGAGCTGGACATTTGAGCCAGTG